GAAAAGAAGGATATGGGCGATGCCTAGTCCTGTCAGTAAGATGGAGAAAATCCTGCAAAGTAAAGAACAAGAGTGGTTGTCCCAAAATCCAGGGGTCTAGAAAAGAATGCAAATATATATGTGGACATCAGAAAGGATGACAGATGACCATACATTTAGGACTGATGTATAGGTAGAAAAAATCAGTCATGGTATAAATGAATGAGAGATGGGTGACTCACAAACCTGAAGTTGGAGCACTCAGCTCACACAGAGACCAAGATCCTGTACACCTCATCCAGGATGTCTACTGCTCTAACTACTTTGGCCCCAGTCAGCTTATGCAGGGAGTATCTCGAGTAGAGTGTAAGTCCATCGTGCCTTTAGCCCTCCATCTGGTTTCCACTGCATTTCCTGTACCATCGTATAACAGGTTCAAAAGTTAGGATGGGATAATTCTGTAGGGCACACATTATGATAGGAGGCTATAAGAGGGCTTTGGGATGAATCCCAGATGCAACTCAAATGGCAAGGAGATGCTGAGAAGATAAGGAGGAAATCCAGGAGATACGTAAAAACAACAGCAGCACTCCATGAAAACTGGAAGATAAGCATGTACAGAAACAAGATGACCTCACAATGTAGCTGACTGGTGCTCAAGCATCTCCAATCACACTTATGAAATAAGAAAATCAGCTGCTGCTTTGTTATTTCCTAATCTATAGAAAACCTATCCTTAAAGGACCAATCCATGCAAACAGATCCACAATAAATGTGTGTTGCACCAACTAAACATTCAAACCATGAGCAATGAAGCTGAGTGAAGGAGTAACTGCAACCCTGCCCTATCCTTTACAGCAGTGGTGCCCAACCTTGTCAGCTAGGGGGCCACATAGCTCATTATCACAGCCATCACAGGCCATATTAAGTCGCTTGTATTGTAGAAGACTATTTAACGTAACCTGAGGGTATTGTGGGTTAGGGTCTCATAGGCCACTTGTAAGCACCTCGAGGTCCACTTATTGCCTGCAGGCCATGGGTAGGGCACCACTGCTCTACAGCCTCAGTCACACCAGCCTGAAACGAAATGAAGAGGAACCATCAGCTGCAACTTGATATTATATAGGAGTCCTGCATCATCATCTGGATCAATTATCTGAAAAAGGTAATTTAGTGGAGACACAGAAATTTGTATTTTCACTGTTCCTATAATTGAAATAACTAATTGTAATTGCAATCAATTTTAAGCAAATCTCAATCATTTATGAGGGGTATTATATTAATTTACATTTATGTTCATCTAGTTCAAGGCAACATTACTTCACTGTAAGAAGTGCTGCACTCTGTTTACTTCCCAGTATTTTGCATATGCTATGCTCCACCAGTCTCACCTGAAGAATTTTCACACGAGAGCCTGTCAAGCCAAATTTTACTTGTAGCGCTCTTGATCCTCTGATGTAGAAGGGAAGAAGCTCAGGACTTTTGTGTGATTAGAAGGAACCACACACACCAATCTTGCTATCTCTATGGCTGAAAGAAATGACTAATCCATTTTTTAAAATCAATACCCACATCCACAACGCTCCCCTTGTGACCTAATGTGTATTTTCAACATATTCCCATGTAAACCAATGCCTATGCATACTTAATTCTGATTATTCTGTGATGAGGATGATAGTGATACAAAATTAGTGTTACAAAGAAATGTGGCAAGAGTGGTTATGGCTTTTGATAAACTACAGAGGAAGAAGCGTATTTAGAAGAAGACTTATTAAATAATGAACATCACAATAAAAGGAGTGGCAGCAGTTCAACAAGAACTACAAATCTTATCATCCTTTAATAGAATGAGGGTATTCATAGATCTGTTGTAGAGATGAAACCCAACAAGATTAGAAGAGGAATGACTGTAAATTTAAAAAAAAACATAAATAAATAAAACCAGTAAGGGTGGAAGTGAATTATTTCGAAGAGAACAACTTCAATAACACATGGCCGACCCGAAGCTCAAAGTATTACCTTAGTAAATTATCACTTACGCACTGCATTCTCACTACTTTTGTCACCTTCTGTCTATCCCCTTACTCATTACGTCTTATAGGTTCCTTTATTCCTGAAACCAACGTAGGGGATGGTATGAGGGGATGAACACCATGGCATGAGGGGATGAAAAAACACCAGGGAACGGCCGGAAATCGAACCCGAGTCTCCTTTGATTGCCGGTAAGGTGAGCCACTACACCACCGAACCCAGGACATTCAGTCGCGCTTCTCCGTGCAGTCCATAACACTACACCATATCAATTGAAACCTAAGGCGCAAACGACATAAGACGATTACCACGGAAATTCTCACTACGAGCCGCATGATCCCCACAGGGACTCGGGCAAAATAAATCTTTCTGGCCTAGGCCCACCCTAACCACATTAAATCTACGGATTCTTAAAGGTTGGCTTATGACTGAGATCAGAAACAAGAATACACAAAGCGAAACAGAATACGATGCGTGTAATCGCCTCTTGATATCACTAACTACCTTGAACCTCGAACGATCGAGGATGAAGTCGCGAGATGATTGATGTCGCCATTGGGCAAAAAGGGGAAACATGCATTACCGACATCTAGTGGCAAATGTATGCATCAATCAGAAAACCGTGTGAGAACATGAACCTTCCTTCAAAACCCCCAGATGACAAAAAATTCCAGGCCGTGGTCTTTTCCCCATTGGTAACACCCATCACCGTTGCGAAGCAATGCATAAGAGCATGTGCTCAAGCGAAGGCCCGCCCACTGAGTGATGTCAAAATTCCAAAGTCATAGCGGCCCCAACAGGAGGGGCAGGGGGGGAGATGGTCCCCCCAACAATGAATTAAGAATTCTTTCGTTCATTTTTCCGTTTACATTGGAATGGACATGAGATCCTGACGAAATCTTTGGACTCCTTCAACTCCCCCATCCAGGAAAACTTGCGATTTTACCCGAGGGTTGAGCGAGTGAAATCCCAACTTCGTGGATCCCTCCTTTGCCTATGGCCACATAAATTCCTTTTCTTTTCCGTGAGGGCTGGCCGAGACCCGAGAAAGGATCTCGCTTCCTGCCGTGCGCATTTACACATTTACACATTTTAAAATTTTTTAATTCAAAATTTCTAAACCATCTGAGAGAATAAATTGAATGAAAGAATTGGTCACCCCAGATGAAACAGCCATGACAATAAACTGGGGACTTTGTAGAGAAACATAATTGGCTGCCAATAAGGGGTATCATGAGACAAATAATAATAATAAACAGCCTTTCTGGAACATAGACCTGGAGTGAGGCGTCTTCACAAAAAAAGGCAACGCAAAAACACCTCAATATGAGCACAAGAATGCCCCACTGACTCAACTCAAAATACACTGCAGCCGAAATGAAATTGAACATCCTCAAAATGCAGGTTCCGGTCCTCTAGAGACATCCCTAACAAAACTTTGGACTTGTTAGGGGGGACTCCACTGCAACAGGTGGAGTTTAAGGATGTTACCATCTTTAACTTCAAGGAAATTGGACCGACAATTTGGAAAGCGTTCCTTCCGGCGGTATACCATCGAGATGCAAAGTGAGGGAGGGGACTCATCGAACTCGAGTCCCTCTATAAGCGGCCGACGTGCGAAGTCGCCAGATTGAAAGGAAACAGGGACGACTCATTTCCATCCTGAGAGAGCGAGATGCCCCAAGGAAATCCCGCTCCATCCAGGGATATGCCACCCGCTTCCGAAACGCACTCCATCTCCATGACGACTGCGACACGACGGATGCGAAGACGGCAGACGAGAGGCTACAAAGAGAGGCACGATGGGGCTCAAAGGGCATATCAGGAAGCTGGAATGCGAAATATCACTCGATATCCATCAGCGTACAGCAACCTTGGGCACGACCAGCATCCTCCGCAGTGTCCTTCAGAACTAGGGGAGTATGAGGTCTGGGATGTGGTTCATCCCCCCTCATATCTGCAATACCGGTAGGTGGTACTAGTGGTTTCAATATCGAGATCACAATTCGCTTGAACGGTGGTGTCGTGGGTTCGATTCCATGCACAGCCAGAGTTAGAAAATGCGATTCCATAAAAGTACTTGTGCCTAAATATAGATATGGAGATAAAGAAAGAATACAGTGAACGTAGTCTATAATGAGTTCTTGCCTTAAAACTCTCAAGTAGTTTATGTGGTTCATGTTGCTGTTATTATTCCCTTCTTCTTTTTTGGAGATCGATATGCAATCAAGATAGTGTCGACCATAGGTAGGAATTGAATTCACTAATGGAACACTAAACGACGCACTGACGAATGTTACTTGGTGATCCTCAGGCTACAAGTCACATGGCGTTACTATGAATATGTTCTAAAACACCTTTTTAAAGGTATCAGAGGCAAAGGTGTGGGAATTGAACCCATCAGCAAAGGAGTTTCACCGCATTACTAGGGGTGAGCCTCGAAAACGGATGCCTGAAATTGAAATACTGAATTTCTTTCGGTCAGAGAGCGCCGAAGGCGCATCAAAAGCTATTGAATAGTTATATATATAAATCAAATATATATAAACGATGGTGACTGACTGACTGACTGACGCTAATTCTAACCATGTTCCAGAAGGGTTAGAAATCTGAAACTTGGTACACATGTACCTTTTGGGATGCAGAGTTCAGAAAAAATCCGACTTTGGAGGTACATGCCCTGGGGGTACAAATTTTGGGGGGAAACGTTTTTCTTAAATATGTTTTGTGACAGATGAGGATGGCATTCTGAGAGTCGAATAGTTGTGCTAGGTTCGGTGGTGTAGTAGTAACGTATCTGACTGGCAATCAGAAGATCCTGGTTCAATTCCCGTCCATTCCTTGGCGCGTTTTTGCCTTTCATGTACCATTACTCATTCACCCTCCATAACATTATTTTTGCTTGAGTAAAACGGAGGGACATGGGAAGCTGAAATTTGGCATGGATGTGCCTACCGAGATGATGAGTTCAGGAAAAATGTAAAATTTTAGATCCATGCCCTGGGGGCATATTTTGAGGAGCCGACGTTTTCAAGTATTTTTTTTTTTATCCTGACGGATTGAGCTGGTGTGGAAAGATGAAACTTGGTGCATAACTATCTATTGGAATGCTGCAGAAAACATCAGACTTTGGAAGTAAATACCCCGGGGGCACAAATTTCAAGGGGAGATGTTTTCAATTAATTTTTTTTGCATTATTAGACCGATGAACATGGAAAACTGAAACTTTGCATGAATGCGACAACTGAGACACAAGGAGTTAAATAAAAACATTTAGTCTCGATAAATCCCCTGGGAGGATTTTTCCGAGGAGCGATGCTTCGAAAAAGAAAATTGTATTGGCGAATTGGACAGAAATGGAAAGGTGAATTGCGCTGAGGGATCATTCATCTTTCATGGTGCATCCCCTCCGGGCATAGCGTTAGGGTGGGTCGGCTTTTCCAAACATGTTTTTTCACCAGCGAAAAGGGCAAAGGTATAATATTGAAACGTTGTGGGCATGTAGTTCACTGAGGATGGATTTCGGTAAGAAAAAAATGGTACGTTTCAGTTAAAACGGCTCAGAGCTCATATTTTGCAAAAGGCGAATTTTCACGAATTTTCTGATCCAGCAAAACAGAGGGCGCATGAAAGTTAAAAAAAAAACTTGTCAAATGAGGACCTGATGGACAGCTGAGTAAATAAAAAATTCCACTTTCATATATATATCGTGACTGACGCTAATTAAAAAAGGGGAAACGTATGAAGCTGAAACTGGGTGGCATGGAGTTCCCTGGGTCTCCATTTCAGAAGAAAAATATTTTTTCCGTAAAATCCATCAGGGCTCTTTCTTTAAGTCCCATTTTACTGAACTTTTTTTTTATGCAACGAAACAGATACAGAAAATTTAAACTTCCCTCGGAAGTTCCTGTTTAATGGCTGAATACAGGAAAAAGTCCTACTTTTGAAATATGTTTGCTTAACGTATTGGGTTGGAAAGAAGTCTTGCAACACTTTCTAAAACTATTTCTAAAACTTTTCAAAGGAATGATGGGCGGGGTTTTGCATTTGTAAATGCTGGAACGTTCTCGAAGCGTCTGCCCTCAGGGTATATAAGGCGGCTTCTGCCATCAGTTGGCAGCCATGGCTCCGATCGAAGGAGCAACTCTTCGCCCCATTGTCTACTACGAGTTCCTCCAAGGACACTCTGCGAGAGCCGCCGCGGACAACATCTGCATTCAAGGGCAACGTTGTCCACTATTCCACGGTGTCTCGATGGTTGAAACCATCTGGCGACACGACCTTCGGAGATCGACCACGCTCGGGACGTCCATCTACGGTCGATGACGAAGCGCTGCGGAATGCCCTCAACGCGAAGCCGAACGCCACCACTCGCGAATCCGCGACTACACTTGGAGTCACCCGTATGGCCATCGGCAACCATCTGAACGACCTCGGCTATCGGAAGGTTTAATCGACATGGGTCCCTCATCGGCTCGGCGACTCTGACAAAGCAAGCCGTGTCGGTGTCTGCGAATCACTGCTCCTTCGTCCGCACAGAAAGGACCTTCTGAAGGAAATCGTTACTGGAGATGAGAGCTGGGTCCTCGACGTCGACCGTACTCGCAAGAGTCAGTGGCTTCCACGAGGAGAAATGCCGCCACACGAACCGAAACCAGGGTTCCAAGAGAAGAAGGTTCTTCTCTGCTGTCGGTGGGATTCAGAAGGAATGTCGTACTATGAGCTCCTGCCAACCGGTACCACCGTGACTGCCGTCGTCCACGCTGCTCGACTTCAGAAGTTGGCTGGCGTCATTCAAAAAGAGCGTCCCAAACGCGACAAAGTTCTCCTTCTGCATGACAACGCTCGTTCACGTGTTGCGAAGATGACTCGCCTGACGATTTCGGAACCGGGCTGGGAAGTTTTACCCCATCCAGCGTATTCTCCGGACTTGGACCCTTCCGACTATCACTCGTTCCGGGCCCTCAAGAATCACCTGCTGGACAAGGCACAAGACGATCGAGCAAGGCTCGAAAATGATGTCGCCCGTTTCTTCGCTTCGCAATCGCCAGAGTTCTGGGCAAAGGGCATCGAGCAGTTACCGCGTTGGGAACATGTCATTGACATGTTCCCAAATCTCGCTAAAACCATTCTGGGCTCTTTTTTTTTAAGTCCCATTTACCTTAACATTTTTTTTATATAACGAAACAGAGACAGAAAATTTAAACTTCCCTCAGAAGTACCTATTTAATGCCTGAGTACAGGAAAAATCCTACTTTTGAAATGTGTCTCCTTAGCGTAGATTATTAGAGGGAAGTATTCGAAATGTATTCTCCACCCTTACTAATAGGAACACAAGAAAGATTTTTAAGTTAGGCACACATAGAATCATAGAGGTAAAGAATTTAATAAGAAATGATAACTTTCGACCCCATATGTCACGTATTTCAATGGGGACGTACTTTAAATACGTGTTTCCCATTTCGCAAAAAATGAACGAATTAATTACTATCCAAGGTAATGGAGCGCCGAAGGCCCGACTATAGCGAGATTTTGATTGAAGGAGGCTTTGATTGAAGCCAAATCGAAAATGACATGGATAAGAGATTCACCTTCACGTTAGGAACTGGGCAATCGTCCACCTGACAGCGCGGCTAGTCCTCATGAGGATCATACCGGAAAAACTCATAACCTGGGTTACTCTGGGGACAGCTTTTCACCTATGGAGTACGTAGGGAGGCTTTTGATTGCTTTGGCTTCACCTTGTCATGTCGCTAATGAGCCCAAAGGCAGAGCAGGGATTTCCAGATGAGATATCTCCTTATTCCACCGCATCGATCAATCGATACAAATCACCGCTTCCGCTCAACTCATGAACTCAGCCTGAAAAAACACAATGCAGTAAAAAAAAAAACAGAAGTTCCGGGCGGCGATACCGCAGCAAGCCCTAACTGAACGACAGCTAAATCGATTTCAATGGCGAAATTGTGCACAGCAGAAAAGAGAAATAACTCTTTTTGAATTTTACGAGACAATATCTCTCTTTTGAAGGTCCTTTGAAGGTGGAGTGGCACAAAGAAAATAAGCTAAACAGAACGTCAAGTGAGATTCAGTGTTCTCCGCAATCCCCAGAAAGGTGAAACTTCAAATTTGCTGGAACTATGTGCTAAGACATAAATAAACAAATCTAATTTCATTCCTGTTAATCTCCTCAGAGAGGAATACGATTTGAGTGTAATTATGCATCGGGAGACGTTCGAAGAAAGGTCATGTCGCTCCCACGCATGTTTATTCCTCCCATCTCCTTGAGACCCCCGAATCCCCCGACCCCGTTCCTTGAGACCGCATTTCGAGATGCAGTCCCGTGTCCTCGGAAACCCCAAATCCTTCCAAGCCATTCGGTTTATGAAATCCTCCTACTTTAGGTGGAATCTCCCCTCTCCTTTTCGTCGTACCCTAGGGAAAAACGGCGGGCGATGGACGAAAGGTCGAAGATCTCCCTGGCGACCGAGAAACTCGCATTTTCCATCGCACGTCAATATCGGCAGAAGTTTTCCTCATATTTCAAGTCTCGCCTCGATGGGAAAAGATGAATGATCCGAACTGGGAAAACAGCGCAATGGTGCATGGTGAATGGAAAACAGAGTTTTCCATTCACCATGAAGTTCTTCGACGTTGTGGTCTTCGTATTGTCTTTCCCTATCGGATATGAGGGAAATGAGATCGGGAACTTGGTGAAGAAGATGAGAAGATTCGATCACTTGGGAAAAGATTTGAAGCTGTCGGGAATGCTGGAAATTTTTTTGCAGGAGCCAAATATTCAGGAATGCATCTGGAAGTGCGACATCAACGAGCACAAAGGCAGAGGTTGCGACGGAGTCAACTACAACCCCGAGTTGAGAGAATGTGAGCTGGTTGCAGGTGGTTCCAGCGGCCTTATTCTCGACAGAGGCTGGTTGGCCTACTCAAGCCTTCACCATCGTGAGTGTCTTTGGATTTCATAAAATGTTATATGCAGAAACTGCCACCGAGAAGACGCAGGGTGGTACGAATATCTTGAAGAGAATGAGGGGAGCTCAGCAAAATCAACTTTCTCGTAATTCCGTTAGCACCATCGGATCCGAGAGTGTCCCCTGCCGTG